AAACACTAGCAGGCAGGTACTCTGGCCGGCACTGGCTAATTGGGGCTGCGTTTAGTGACATACTGGATTACTTTAATGTGAGTTTTGAAGGGAGGAGGCCTAATATTGAGAGATACAGCACTTGGCCCTCTGTTTTGGACTGTATGTCAGTACTTGAAGTTTTTGGGGTTCTGCAAACTAAAATGTAGGTGTTTCTGCCAGTATGGATGACTATGGGGGAACAATCTTCCTCTCAACTTGAGAGGAAGAGGGTGGCCAGGCGTCCCCCAAGCTCTGWATTCTTATGAGCCCACGTGTTTTTCTCCCAATGGCAGAGTGTCTATATATGTCTCTGTGCCTGTGTATGTTAGATTAAGTTCTGATTCSTGTTTCTGTGCTGAGGAGCTAGTTTGGGCACTAACCACTGATTTCTGCAGAGTCTTATATTATTTGCCTACACGTGATGCTGCTGCTTTTCCAGCAGAAGTAATGTGACTACTATAAAAAGATTACATGACCAGGACTGTAGTTTTATGCTAACTTAGAGGTTTTTAATCTTTAAATACCTGTAGTACTATCCCTGTTTTGTTGTCTTTCCTCAGAATGAATGGGTAAATTGAGCTGGATGTAAAAATGAATACAATGAATAAAGCCTTTGGAAAGTTAATTCCATTTATTCATATATTTTTACATCTAGCTCATTTTTTTCATCCTCTTTGCCTCACTTTCCCACCCTAACAATGTAGTCCTTCACTGAGAAGTGCCGAGGGATTCGTATTCCTTGTAAATGTGCTAAGAGAGAGCAATCCATAATTCTTTGGCTTTCTTCCCCACAGCTCTGATGGCGCATGGGCCTCGCTGCCGCTCTCGGACGTAGCAAGMGGGCCGGCTGTTTTGGTCTGCCCTCCTTTGAGCAGCTTCAGTTCCACCCTCGAGCCGGAGGGAGATGCCCAAAGAGATGGAGGAGAGCTCCCCGCCGCGGTGCCTCACGTGCGGCCAAGCGCACTTCCCYGAGGAAAACCACTTGTACAGCTACACGGAGGAGGTGGATGACGACCTGATCTGCCACATTTGCCTGCAGCCCTTGCTGCAGCCCTTGGACACGCTGTGCGGTCACACCTTCTGCACGGCCTGCCTGACCAACTTCCTGGCGGAGAAGGACTTCTGTCCCATGGACCGCAAGCTCGTGATCCTGCAGTCGTGCAGGAAGTCCAGCATCCTGGTGAATAAGCTCCTGGACAAGCTCATGGTCAGCTGCCCTTTCGCCGAGCACTGCTCGGAGGTGGTGCAGCGTGGCGATCTGGAGCAGCATCTCCACACCCAGTAAGTCTGCGCCCAAAGGTAGAGGGGTTGTCACCCCTTTTCCCTAAGGGAATCAAGTCTTCAATAAACTGATAAAAATGGACAGTTAATATAAAGAGAGACTGAGTAAACTCAGTCCCAGTGAATGCCTGTGATATAAGGAATCTAGACTTGAGCTTGGTCCATTTATTTAGTTGCATCTTGCTCTTTTTTTAAGAGCCAAATACTTTGGAGGCACTTGATGCTATCGTTAGCAATTCTGTGAGGATACCTGGTGGTTAGCTGCATAATGGAAGCGTATATGTAGTCATCCGAAGAGATCCAGGAGGTTTTGGGAAGCTGAGCTATCATAAATATTTCAGTAGTACATTAAGGGTTTTATAATTGCCTTTTCTTCAGCCCTCTTGATTCACAAATGACCTATATGTGAAGTAGAGCAGAAAACATCCTGGTTTGTATTGGTCCTGGGAGCGCGGCTTGGAGCCAGGCTCCTTCCTTGAGGTGAAGGCGTTCGCGCCGCACCGTGGGGCTCCCCGGGCCGGGTCTCGTGCAGGATGGAGGGCCTTGCCTGGCCCGCTTCCCTAGCCCAGACCTGCTGATCCTGGTGCTCAGGACACCCTCCCTGCTGGCGCCGGGAGAGAGATTCCGGGGGTTGGTGTGGATCTTCCGGAAGGAGAGTGCTGATGGTGAATAATCCTCCATTTCACTAGGTAAACACACATGCTGCTGCTTTTGTCTTCCCTTTTGAGTGGGAGAATGAGGAGATACCTTCAGGGTTGCGATTTCTGACTGCAGACAAGTGCCTCTGCCTGGACCAGAGCGGGGACCTCAGATCTGAGGAGAGCCAGTGTTTAAGACCTGACCTTTGCCCACAGCCCTTTTGCTGTTGGCCAGTGAAACAACCTCCCCTGTGTTTTGCTGGCAGGAATTGTGGCCTCCGGTGTGTGCTCCTGCCTGTGCTTTATGTAGGAAACCCCAGGCAAGCAGCTCAGAGTGCTAGGCCTTGCTGCTGGAGGGTAAATTTCTGAGCAGACGCAGCACTGCTGTGTGTTGGAGCATCCCTGCCCTATGTGGTATCTGCCCTTTGTGGTGCTGCGTCGCTTTGGAGGGTGCTGAGCAGAGCAGTAGTATTGTGGTTTAACCAACCCGGAGTGCTGACTGCTTTGCATTATCAAAAAGGGGAAAGCAAAAACCTTAGCACGGATCCCTTTGCACATTAGCAGTAGTTTCCTTGCAAGAGACACATGCTCCATGCTTGCATGTTTGCAGGGCTTGTGCCTGCTTTGGCCCTGCCAAGTCTGCAATTGGATTTTGCTGCTTGCAGAGCTGCTTTTCAATGGCTCGTGGTGCTCAGAGGTGGTGTCAGCAGTCTCGATCCCATGTTTGTGCCAGGTCAGGTTTCTGTTTCTGAAGGGAAAAGTCATTCAGGCTGCTTACAACTTTCTGCCTTTGGTCAGTACTTTCCCGAAATGCCTCAAATTCAACTTAGAGCAACGATGCAAGTAAAGGTTTGCCATGAGCTGCTGTTTCTTTATGGATTGCAAGGATTAAATCCTGAGACCTTAGTGCAAATATCCCTTCCCTTTGCTTCCATATAGCTGTCTTTCATGAACTCTGGATCCTCCCTTCTTTTATCTTGAAATGATGGAGCCTTGACCATAAAATTTAACTTTATAAAACCCAGAAATGCACAAATTAGATTTATTATTATTATTTTTTTTACATAGAAACCAAATGATTTGCACAGTCCCTGATTTCTAGTGTTGACTCTCCTATATGCACATGTACAAGTCACTCCAGTGTCTTGGTTTCTTCCTGCAGGATAGTAATAAATATGCCCTTCTCCTGTATGCCTTGCAGAATTGTGGTACTGTGAATGGAAATTTGATGCTGTAGAAGCATGATGAATTTTATTCCAGTGCTTATTGCTCACGTTGGTGGCCTGGATGTTTTTCTTGGGATCCGTGTGATCTTATGCCCCTGGCTCGCCTGGCCGCAGCCAATGCAGCAGCAGCAGAATCAGCTCAGTACCCTCTTCCCGCAGCCTCTTTTTCATCCTGCCCAGGAAAACCTGGAGAGCTGGGACTGGAAGTGCAGAGCAGCCATCGCCCTCCATATCAAATCTGAAAGGCTGTGAGGAAGTTCAGGACTAGGCAGACTACGAAGCTGTCAGCAGCCTCCTGGCCGCTCGTGCAAAGCCGTTCCCCACAGATGATTTGGAGGGCCGAGTTACTGCTCGGCTGCAGGGCAGCAGCAGCCGGAGAGTAGGAATTAATAGGGTCCCTTGGCCACTGGGGCTTCACTAAAATGTTTACGCTTAAGCCCATTGCTAATCCTGAGGATGTGGGGCAGCGCCCCCGCCTTTCCCACACGCAGGAGAATAAAGAGGTAACTTTGTGAATTTTAGCCGAATGGGTCCTTTGGAAACCTTGTKTCTGTAGGCAGCGTGCAGTGGTTGTGTTTATTAGTTTTTAATACAGCATTTGTTACCCATCACAGTTACCACCCAATGTGATCTGCACAGAACTCACAGGGATGCAGTGCCGGGCAGCGCAGGGACCTGCCTGGGCAGCCGGGCGCCCCGGGCGCAGCGCAGCAGCGGGAAGGGCAGCGGGTGCTCCCCGGGCAGCGCCTCCGGCCCGGCACCCTGCAGCCTGGGGGGCAGCGTCCCGCCCTGCCCCACTGCATCAGCAGCGTCCAGGGAAAGCGCAGCCCTTCTACAGGAATCATAACATTAATAATAATGATAATAAAGCAGCCTGGARCCTGTGGAGGGAGCGGCTCGGAGCCGGTCTGAAACGTCGACTGATTGTGGTCAGTGCTCTCGGCGAGCAGATGAACGCAGGCTCTGTGCAAGCCACGGGGGTGCTCGGCAGTGCTGGCATGATTCAGTCCCCGAGCAATCCTCCTGCTCGCGGAGGCAGCGAAACCKTGTGCCCATCAGAGGTGGGGGCACTGATGGGACGGGGTGAGGGTGTGTTTTATGCTTTGTAAGTGAGGGGAGAGCTTGAGTATTTTCTGACTGCATTAAAAGCATCCCTCTTTAAAAGGATGCGCTAATGTCTATTCTTGCATTATTCAAAAAAAAAAAAAAAAAAAGAGCGAGAAGAGAGGTGTCCTTGCTTTGCTACCCGATATATATTTGCACAAAAGCATCTGACTGACCTGAGGATTTCAGGCGGAGCTCCCAGAGCCCGCACTGGGCTGTGATCTTTTGCTGTGTTTTACTTTAAAAAGGTGTGGTCTTCCGACACCGCCTGCTTCCCAACTCCACAGGGGGCCTTTTCCCCCCTTTCCAGGCGGCTAGACCCTTCCGTGATGCAGCTCGGCTCATCGTAACCCATCTGCTCGTGGGCAGTGATGTAAACGTACCAGCTGCCTCTGAAGAACCACTCTGAATCCTGCAGGAGGCAGGTCTCTTCCCCGTGCATCATTCTGCTCTGCAGCATAAGTCACTGTCTCGCCAACCATGCTGTGCTGTCCCTAAACCCTCACGTCTCCCCATCTGAGAGCCAGACCGAGTAATCCTCTTACAGGTCAATGATTTTCTCAGTGTAGCTTCGTTTCGGGGATTTAAGTGCGATCCATAATGTGCCACCGTTGCGTTGAGACGGAAAGGCTCGCGTAGAAGGGGCTTGRCTGCCACAAAAGCTTGGAGGTGCGTGTCCCGCCAGCACGCAGGCRAGGTGGGAAGGAGGAGACGCGGCCCTGCCCTGAGAATGAAGGCTCTTCTCTTGCTGGTCCTGCCTTGGCTAAGCCCTGCCAACTACATAGACAATGTGGGCAACCTGCACTTCCTGTACTCCGAGCTGTGAGTACGCACGCTCGCGCTGTCCTTGTGCTCTCTGTGTGTCCGTCTGTGCCGGCGCCGCCGCGTTGGTGTCTCCCTCTGCACGTCCCCGTGTCTCTGTGTGTGTTTGTGTGCAAAGGAAACAGCAAAGCCCACGGCCGAGAGCCCCGCCACGACCCAGCTGCGTCTCCACCGAAGGGCTAATAACAGCAGTGCCTCCCGTCGCCTCGTGCTCCGGAGCGCCTGGGACGGGCTGAGGGAAGCAGCCTTTTTCCCAATCCCCTTCGCTCTTCCGTGCCGCTGTGTTGTCGGGTTTTGGGTGTTTTCCCTTTCCCGACGTGCTCCTTGCCGGGAATGGCCTCGCTGGGGAGCCGGGCATCGCGGAGGGACAAGCGGAGCGAGCCCAGTGTGTGCAGGGCTCCGGGATGCGCGTGCAAGGCCGCCCGCCCCTGCAGAGCGCCGGGGATCCCGCTGCCAGGAGCAARTCCTGGGAGAGGGCAAGAGCGTCCCGCGCCTCTGCGTGTGCCGGCAGCAAAGCGGCGTTTTCTCCCTAATGCACATAGCAGCTCATGTGTATGTACGTGTATATAGGCACATATATATGTGTATACGTGTGTATCCATATATCCTCGTGTCTTAAAGAAAGTGAAAATCGCAGGCAATCCCAYAGCTGAGCTTTCCAACCCGTAAAACAAACACTCGGTAGCATGAGCAGAAAATGATGCCAGCTTAATTGGTGTCTGGGTAATTATTGGGCCCCTATGAATAAAAATAGATACCTGTTCCAGTGTGATTTTTTAAAATAATTGTATCCTGTTTATATTTTTAAGAAATAACCTCTAAGATAGTCCTTGGTAAAATGAAACAAATTGCTAGTTCTGCTCAGGAAGGAGAAATGACTATTTTATGCCTAAAGTGTGGATGTTTCGGTAGCAGTTGTGGCTCATACAGATGATTTTTATTAATTTACAGAAGGTTAAGTCTCTAGCAGCAGCAGTATTTTGCAGGAACAGAAAGTCTCCCTTTGAAATTCTTATGTGATGTACGTGGCAGCTATAAATAATGTAGCTGTTCTTTGTGCCACTGCTCAGGCTTTGTGTGCGTGTTTTTAAACATTTAACAAATCGGGATTCAATGGTTACAGTTATGGCCTCATTTTCATTTAGAAGTATTTTGTTTAAGGGAAAAAGAGGGAAAGGTCAGCTAAGCACAACAGGGCTCCAGGAAAAACCCAGCTGCAAGCAGAGCYGAGGAGCATTTGCCATGGAAGCGGTGGCATCGGGGGCACCTAGTTTCCGGGAAAAGAGCCCGATGAGATTAATCGGAGCGCGCGCTGCCTTTGGGGGGGAATTGGGATCGGTGCCCCTGCAAGGGCAGCGGGCCGCTGCGTGCGGGAGCGGCGCCGGGATGCGCGGGAGCGGCGCCGGGATGCGCGGGAGCGGCGCCAGGATGCGCGGGAGCGGCACCGGGATGCACGGGAGCGGCGCCGGGATGCGCAGGAGCGGCGTGCTCGCTCGCGCCCAGCCCGCCCGGCGCTCGGACGTGCGTCCGCGGCGCGCGGCAATGGGAGGCGCGCGGTCCTGCCGGGCCCGGCACCACGGCCGCAGCTCCAGCACCCGCCGGGATTCTTCCCGCTCCCGTGCACTCAGTGCCTATGGCGGCAGCCGGATCCTTCGTCTGTAGGCTATGTTTAAAGCTCTCTCTGATGACAGCAGCGGGAAGAAAACAACCGTTTTCAGTGCTGCTTAATGAGTTTGTATTTGTGTTGTACCCACTCCTCCGGTCGCTCAGGCACTCGCATCCAGGCTGTGTTCAGCGCCGAGTTTTGCAAACATGACACGGCGAGTGCCCCGGCCCTGGGTGACCCCCTGCCTGTGGTGGTTTAAATCCCTCCCAAAGGCAACCGCGGAGCCCCATGTGTCCCGCAGCCCTTGCCGTGCCCGGGAAGCGGCCAGTGGTGAGCGGAAAGGCCTCCCTGTTATGGTGCTGCCTTTGGTCTGGGCCGGGACGGGAGGTGCCAGGCGAGGGCAGCGGGGATGGTCCCTCGGAGGCTGYGCACGGCTGCTGCCCCTCGTCCTGCTCCCGCCGCCCCTCGTGCCGTTGAAATAAAGATCCCGTTATTTGCGTAGCRGCCCGGGGAGGACGAACAGCTTGAGGGTGTTTTTCTTCTTAAGAGCAGAACGGGCCTGGGGAATTGGGATTACAGTGCAGCCCAGAGTCTGCCTCTCTGGTATCCATCCAAGTAATAAAGGGGAATTTGGAAGAGCCGAAGAGGAGAAAGGAGGTTGGAGAAAGGCTGTGTTAGACCTTGGCACTTCAGTCAGGTGTTGGGCAGCTGGCAGTAGATCTGTGCCATTTTTCGGGTGGCATTTCATGGGACAGATGTGGAATGCCATCAGTTTTCATTTTCTTTGTTAGCGCTTGTGTAATTCTTGGTGTTTTCAGTGAGCAAATGCCTATCTCCTGATGCTGCCACCCGCACTAAAGCCACTTAGTGGCCTCTCCTGTCCCTCCTTTGCCCCTCCGGACCTTAGTCAGCGCTGTTGATCCCTGGCCACGTCCAGCCCACTAACTTGAACGAGCCCATGGTTTGCGAGGAGGAAACGCACAACATAGCTGCTGTGTCTGTTTGCTAAAAGTTACCTCTTTTTTTTTTTTTTCCCTTAGCACTCTTCAGTTTTACGTGAAACCATCAAAGGCATCTCACCAAATTAACAGGATCGAGTTTCCCCATATAACTTTTATAGGATAAGTACTCTCTTGCATTTCCAAACAGCACTTTGGCTGGAATAGCCAGTAAAATTTAGCTTCTCTGTTCATTCAATTTGAAGAGAAGAGACACAAGCGCCAGCTGTTTTTCAGTGTCTTCAGGCAGGACTTCTTTATGGTGAGCACTATTTAGTTCAAAACATTAGGTGAAGGGAGAATTCCACAGTGAAAGAGTTGAAGATTACAGTATCTGCTAGTGTTCATCAAATTAACGAATCCCCTCAAAGATCCTTGTTTTCAGCACAGGACAAACGCAGCATTAACGCAAATTGCCAGAGCAACTTTTAATTTTGATCTCWCGAAAATCCTTTGCACACAGGAACACCCCTGTATCTCACGCACACGCAGGACACCGTGAGGCCTGCAGGACGAGCGTGCTGTGTCCAGTGGGTGTTTGCAGGAYGGGCTCCTTGCGGCTGAGCCCTCGTGGCCCCGTTCCAGTGTGCAGCTTGGCCACACAGATCCCGTTCTTCCAACTTGTGCTCCGTTTGGTGGTGGTCAGATTTGCGTGTGACTTTCAGCCTGTGCTTGCGAGCGGATGTGCACCAAAATGRGCGTGCAGGAGCCCTCTGGGCAGGGCCTGTTGCACACAGTGGCTGTGAGCTCCTCCTCTGCCCGYGCGCGAGTCCCTCGCGTGGCTCCGTGCAGAGCTGCGCCCATGGAAGCGCCGGTCGGAGTTAAGCTGGGAGGTTGGTYTAAACTGGAAGCTCTTAGAGACCTCCCCAGCCTCCTATGGTGCACTTGAGGTCAGACCCAGAGCTTTGTGCTGCTGTCGCCTCTTCCCATGCCCGGAGCCTCTGGGAAAAGGCTTTGGAAAGGCTGATGTGGCCAGCATCAATGAGAGCTACTCCACGTGTTGCCAAAAGGACAGCTCACCCAGCAGGGCGAAGGGAAGCCGAGCTGAAAACCCAGAGGTTGGCCGAAAGGGCTTATCTTTCCACACAGTGGTTGCACCTCAGCTCTGTGCGAGCCTGCCTGCGGGAGGGCTCCCCATGGAGCGCTCCGTGCGGCCTTGCCTGCAGAGGGGGAATCGCTCACCTGCCTGTGGCGCCTGAGGCGCTCGGGATGGGGCCGGAGAGGGCAGCTGGGAGGCAGCGAGGGGGCTGTGCGGCTGTTAACCCAGTTCAGCGCCGGCACTGGGACAGCCCGGCTTTGCCTTGAGCTGTTTCCCTGGCAAATCTGGTGGAATGGGGCCATCCTGAAACGCCTGGATAACTGCTGTTCTTGCAGCATTCGTGTGCCCGTCGCGGATTAAATCCCGCTCCGGAAAGCGGCTCCGGCTCAGCTCCTTGCCTTGCAGGGGAGCAGACGGCAGCTCCGAGGACTCCTTTTTCAAACGCTCTGACCTCTTTGGAGGACCTGCCTTGGAGGCCTGTGACCGGCGAAGCAGCTGGCCACGTTTGTGCCCTGCTCCATGGGCAGAGCCGCGTTCAGGAGCTCGGGTGGATTCGCTGCGTCTTGGCACGTGAGCGGAGCCTCCACGATGGCCCTGGAGCTTCCTGCTCCCTGTGTAAGGGRCGTATCAAATGTCCCGTCTGAAACCCCCCAGTCACAAAGGAATCCCCCCTTGGAGCTTGACTCTCTTTTGGGATAAGAATGCGGTGTTTTTTTACACCTTAGAAAGCTGAATTCCCCTCTCAGCTTCGGCAAAGTTGTAACTGGAGGTGAAGACTGAGCTTAGTCTGTGAATCCTGGACTCATTTGTTAATTGGCAGCTGATTCTGAATAGAGATTGAAACAAAATCAGTAGTGACTTAGTGAATGCAATGGTTGGAGATGATAACAGACACTGCACAAAGATTTTACCTCCCTCCTGCCCCTCCAAAAACCAGAAAGTTGTGCAAATTCTGTAACCTCAGCATATTTTCCGATATATTCTCCCAATACCAAGTAAAAGAGGTTTGCTAACAGTGAGCAATTTAAGCTCTATTTCCAGGAAACTGCTCTTTGTGTCGAATTTGTGTTGACATCACCATCAAGCTTCATCAAGGCGTGCTTGCCTTGCTCAGCACTGCAGGCTGACCCACTTCTGCAGCCATCAGGCACAGCACTGACCGTATCTGCCCGGGTATTTATCCTCCGTTGTTTTTGTGAATATGCCGAGTGTGATACAGTGGGAACCAAGGGGAAGAGGAAACAACCATCCCTGTCTGCTGTGTCCTTGCTTCGTGACACTGCTGTGGCACGTGGGGTAAGGTCAGGTTAAGGCAGCACATCTGCAGCTTCTAGATCTGTGCTCGTTGTAAAGAGGG